AATCTGTGCGTCGCGTCGTAATAAATTGGCCAATTTTTATGTAGCACACCATACTTATTGATATTTGACAGATAGCTGGTTCTAGACAGTTTGCTAGATTTATTTCACATCTTATACGTAATTTATTTGTTAAAGCTAAGCTATTTATAGTTTTATAATTGTTTACAACAATCCTGTTGGTTGTATGTAACATTTTGAATTGTTTCATATTTATTTACAAAATTGTTCGAATCGATATAATTCGATAATATCAGCTATAGATAGTTCTCGACCTTTACCGTGCAGTAGAGTACATGCCGTAGCGTCAGGTGCGTCCAACAAGCTGTAGTGTACGACTCTACAATTTTGTAGTAGAGAAGTGGATGTGGTATTACCCGTTCTTCCTCGATACCGTGAGTACCGTTGCGTATGGTATCAGGTCAACGGTTTTGTGTATCGCATATTCTTCCCTCAGATCGTCGCTTGTTCTTTAGAAAAGGTAACCAGGTTCTGCTCATCCGAAAGCTTCCATGATTCATATTGTTTGGTTCTGTTTATCCCTATTTTATACCATGTGAGTAATGAAAGAATTATACAGGTCTGACAAAGAAATCGGTTATTAGAAGAAAGAAGGAACATATAAGATTCCACAGACTCAGAAATCATCCATCGCCCGACATGAGTTAGACGAAAAACATGCAATAAATTTCGAAGATACGGATGTACTTATCCGAACAACATGCTTTTACAACCTGGTGAGACGGGAAGTACTGAGAATCGAACATCCATTTTTTTGACTTTATAAGATAGTTTGATTTAATAGATATATTTTATTATTCATATTTTCACAACATGCAAAACAACCACGATATAAAGATCTTGCCGCATCTATACTATTATTAAGTGATGATATTTCTAGAAACAACTACTCTACGAGGTATATGCCCCGACAAGCGTTAATTACATCAGCAGTATCATTAAATACAACTTGGATCTTTCGTCGACCAAATACACCAGACCCATTTCGGACTTATCAAATCCAGAAAAGGTGTAAGTACAAATAAAAGATGTAACTTAGAGCTACCTCTAATGTCAATGCTACTAACTACCTGAGACCTACAAAGAGTAGATCTAAGTCTCAGTTACATCTTTGATTTGTACTTGCACCTTATCCTTTCCTGGATTTAAGGAATCAAAGCAATTGGGCCGATTGTCGCACTTATAGCGTAATGAAACCGGTATGTCTGGTGCGTTCGGCCGACAAATTATCTTTGATGCGCTTAGTGATATGGCTGGTGTAATTCAATGCTAGCCGGAGCATATATCCCGTGGTGTAGCTGTTTCTGGCAATATCATTTAAAACTTTGCTTTCGTCCTCACTGGCCATGTTTTCATAGTACCTGCGCTACAAGCCTTAGTCTACTTTTTTTACCTCTTAGTAGCGTTGGCCACTAGATGTAGCGCTCTCAGTTACATCTTTTATTTGTATTTACTTAAGATTGCTTTTTCAAAGGTGATGTTAAGGCGCATCATCATTGAGTCGATATTGTCGATCGACCCTGTCTGTCGATACAGTCGACTTAGTGTGTACGAGACAATCGACTTTGTCGATCGACATGTCGACTGGTTTTCCATGAGCTGCCGGTAAAATCAAAGGGTAGTCGAGTAGAATCCAAAGTTTAGACGGACTACTCGGCGTTCGACCTTCGACATCGTAAAACTGATTTGGCGTCTCTCGTCGTTTGTAGGTACCTGTCCTATCTACCGGTAAAATGGGATGGGAAAAAGAAAAGATGATAGCGTTTATTGAAGCAAATAAATTAAAAACAAATCTATGAAGCAGCAAAAGCAAAGACCACCGTTACATCTGTATTCATGGTTCAATATATCGATATCATCACTTTTTAAATCTTCGTATTACTACCGCTATACCGATTTCTATTTAGAAAACTTGGTCGAACCCAAAATCTTTTACGCGATAATTTCCTTTTTTAGATGCGATAATAACAAATGCGACACAGGCAATAATGACGTCATCTTCGTTCGACATTTTGGTTTCGACTGATTGACTTTTCTACTTCCTTTGTGTGGACAGGTGAAGTCTTTTCGAATTGTCGGTGGAAGTGTCAATAGATAGAGTCGATCGACAATGTCGGCTCAGTAATAACGCGCCTTTAGAACAGCAGGAATATATTTCTTTTGAAATTTATATTATTTAAAAATTTTAGTATTACAGGCATGTGTCTTTATTATATTTTGACATATGAATTTTTATTTTTATTTTGGATAAGTATTAGTATTCCTAGTTGGGACATATAGCCAACAGAGCAGTTGTTTTCTTGCGACATTATCAGTTAAAAATTGTCATTTTCATATATAGATCTTTGGTATCGAAGAACATTGTTTGAGTCCTTTCGATGCGAATTTTTGAATTTATTCAAATTAGTTTAAAGCCATTAAAATAAAGTAAAATTACTACCCGATTCGTAACAATCTTCAGCTTATGAACTTCTTAACTCATTAATAGGATACCTACCTACAAGTAACCGGAGATCAAAGAATATACGAGTATGTAAAGGGACTGTCGAGCAGCACAGAACCTCTTTAAAGAGTAAACAACGACTGAATGGCTCGGAACCCTTTAAATGCTAATGAAGTGCCCTGTTGACTAAAATTGGGACAAAACATTTGACCCACATATAAGCAGTGTTAAGTTATTGGGGTCGCGAATTAATGCAAATTGCTCAAATGTTTAATCATAAAGACGAAAGCTCCATGTCCACGACAATATATGCTCCGATTGAAATGTAAAATAATGAACCATTCGAAATTATACAACACTCTCATATTAAAGGATGGCATTGAAAAATATTTTATAAACTTTAATTAAATGAACTCTTTACAATACATGAACAAAATACCTGTAAAAACCGAAACAATATTGGGAGACACAATATCGGACCATGCCTGAACCGAACGTCGACTGACATCCGGTGTATAATTTACACAATAAAATTAAGATGATTGTCTACATATTACCATGCCATGCTCAAGTGACGTTATAGAACCGCAAGAGTGCCCGGCAGAAATTGTTTAGTAAATTTAGATACCAAGGCGCGACGCTGGGATATTGTAAATTTTCGAGAATCGAAGATATAGCCAACATTACTTAAAAATAATATGCATATCGAAAGACATACAGTGTGTCTCAAAAGTCAAGGGCATTGCATCAGTTTTTGGAAAAATCGCTCGGACATGTCGATTTTCAAAATTGTAACCAGTGGCGGCAGGAAGGGAATGGGGTTGTTTTTTTTTTATATGGCATCCACTTTTTTTTATTGGACCGTATGAAAAGTTGGTCTTTTTGATTAATTTGGTATGTAGGGGTTTGATCGGAAATATTTTGAAAAAAAATCGAAAGAAACGTAAACTCTTTATTTATTTTTTTAAGGGTATAGCTGAGTCTAGATGCCTGAACACAATTAATTTTTATTGAAGTGTCAAAAGTGAAGCGTTACAATAACATCGGTGGGTAATTACTTCCCTTTGCCTATAGGGAAATAAGTCATTTTAAAGAAAAACTTTCCAATGTAGTCATTAACAGATACACAAAAGATTGAGATCCTCATGACGACAGGGTATGGCGATCGGAAATAAACTGAAATTGAGATTCGTGATATTTTTAATGCTAGATACACAGGTCTAGTGTAGGAATTATCTTTCAAAATTTTTATTCTCGAGACAAGAACAGGTCGGCCTATAGTACAGGAAAATACTCAATTAGATGTACTTCGTGCCGTTGGTCTTCTTGCAACAACACGACAGGTAGGACGAAATCTTAATATTTACATTGTACCGTGTACAGAATTCTTAAGAGACAAAACAACCATTCCTACAAACTTCGATTAACCCATTAACAGAGGACTATTTTGATCGTCGTGTGGAATTTTGCGAATTAATGCAAAATCTGTATAACGATGATGAGAACTTCATTACGAACGTCTTCAACAGACAAAATTGTCGATATTGGGTCGTCGAAAATCCACATTGGATGCAAGAGGTGCAACCCAGTATACTCAAAAGATAAATGTGTGGGTAGGTATCGGAAGAAACCGAATTCTTATTTCATCAACGGGAAATTGAATAGCTCAGGGTACCTTGAATTATTAGAGGAACTGGTTGCTGTAGAACTGGTGGAACTTTATCCAGGAGGAGAACAAGATGAAATAAGTCCTGAAATATGGTTTCAACATAACGGCGCTCTGCAGCATTACGTAGCCATCCATCATAAGAAACTATTTAAACCATCAATTTCGACATCGTTGGTTGGTAGAAGAGAGGAAATTGAGTGACCGGCAGGGTCTCCCGATTTAACCCCACTTGACTTTTTGTTGCGGGGATATTTGAAAAGCAAGGCGTATCGTGACAGACCGGACAACACTGAAGAGCAGAAACAACGCATTTGCCATGAGATCAGGTGAATACCACCTGAATCAATCAGAAATTTGCAGAGAAAGGTTGTCAACAGTCTGGATCATTGTCGAGCTGCAGGCGGTCGGCAGTTTGAACATCCGATTCATAAAATCAAATAAAAAGAGCTATTTTGTTGACAAAAACGTGTTTCGAAAAAAATTAATGAGTTCTTTTACATTTTTTTTCTGAAATTTTCCCAACCAATCCCCTACATGTGGCACACCAAATTAATTAGAAAGATCTAATCTTTCATCCGGCCAATAAAAAAAAATGGTTGCAATTTACAAAAGCAACCCTATCCCCCTCCCACGGCCACTGGTTACATTTTTGAAAATTGAATTTCACCGAAGTTCATGCACCAAAAAAACAAAAAATGTAGAGTGAAGGAGGTCACGTCACGTCATAATGAAATTGAGTTTTTTGACTTTTTTATTTACAGCTGCCACAGAATCCAGTAAATTTTATTCTTGTGTGTTTATATTGATGTAAATAACTCCAACAACTTGTAGCAATTTCCTAGTTACATAATGTATTTCTGTTTTTTCCAGAAATCCCTGAGCCGATCTACCTCACGGCAGTGCCCTACAAAGAATCCTTCACATACTTCACGCAATGCAGCCCTACCTGGTCCACAGAGACAGACACTGCCTTCATGATCATCAAAATGGTATTCTTCTACCTGTTCCCATTGCTTTTTATGTCTGTAGCCTACATCCAGATCATCAGGGTGCTGTGGAAGTCGGGAAATGCACCTCATCAAGCCATGGGTGAGTACAATTCGATACGATAATATCATGGGGTATTTTGTAGTTAGTAAGTGTATTCTTATAATTCAACTATGTTACTAATATTTATTTATTTATTCATTCCAAACAGACAAATTGTCTAATTACATGGAAAATCATAACATTTAATAACATTCTTACAAATAATGTACATGGTAACAACAGTACCATGAGAACATCAACAATTTACAATTAAACAAATTAATAATAATAAAAATATAAAAAGAAAAATATAGGGTGCGAATCAAGGTACATAGCTATAATTAAATAAATTTCGCATTCTACTATAAAATTTATACATCGATGGTTGGAAAGAATCAATATTATTGATGACATGACTAAAAATGGTGAACTGTAAATAGTTTTAACAACAGGTATCAAAAGTAAACGGCAATGTCTGGCTGTTATGAGCGAAATATTAAATTTAAATAATGATAAAATAAACGAGTCATTTATAAGATTATTTAGTATTTTATAGACAAACACTAATGACGCAATACTTCTGCGAATAAAAGGTGTATTCAATTGAAACTCTTGACATAAATGCATTGTTCTGGTAATGTTATAATCAGGACGTCTATTATATTTTTTAAAATACAAAAAACGCAGAAACTTTTTCTGCACTCTTTCAGATTTATCTAAATGTTTTTTAGGTTGAGAATGCCATGGAACAGAACAGTACTCTAGTTTAGATCTAATTAACGAGTTATATAATAAAATAAGACATTTTACATTCCTTAAATGTTTGGGCACTCTTATTTATAAATCCTAATGATTTAAAAGCCGAATTAACAATATTATCTATATGTCGTCGATATGATAACTTTGTATCCACAGTTACACCAAGATCCTTCACAGATGTTACCCTTTTAAGTTCGGTCTGATTCATTAAGTAGAAAAAAATAATTGGAGCACTATTTCTTGTGAATGACATAATAAAACATTTTTTAATATTAAAATCAAGTTGATTACTAATACTCCAATTAACAACAGCATTAATGTCGTCTTGCAATAGTTTGCAGTCGTGATTCGACTCTTGAAGCCTGCGGTATCCCTGAAAGTGCTCTAAATTCGTCAGAGTACATATTACCATATTTTACCATAAAACGCCTATCTTTCAGATACGATATTAACAAATTCAATGTATTATGGGAAACTCCATAAAAACACAACTTTTTTAACAATATATTATGTGCTACACGATCAAAAGCTTTCTGAAAATCTGTAAAAATTGTGTCAACTTGAATTTTTCGTTCAAATGCTTGATGAATTTTTATATTAAATAATAAAAGATTTGTTAAGGACGATGAATATATTTTTATCGGTACCGAGACACAAAAGTATCGAATACGAAGTTTGATATTAGATATATTTAAAATAGTCACTAGCAGGATATGCACTACTATAATGGACGTAAATGAAAGATGTATATAGATAATATAAGTAAAAAAATTTGTAAATAATTATAACTAAATTTGAATTTGCACATTCAATAAACTATGTAAATGCACTCATGTTGTACAATTATGTTGCAAAGAACACTAAAGAACAATGTTACAATGTTAAAAGTCAATAAGTTCTGGCATGAGTACATTTAATCATCTTAATGAAATTTTGACAAGCCTTTGACGTTAGATGAAGGTATTTCACATATATTTCCAATTCATGCAATAAAACTGGTATGTAAATGAAGCATAATGTACCTGGAGCCAGAATATATGTGTGGAATTAAACTTATACATCCGTGAAAACCCTTTTTTGTAGCATATAAATATTCACAGTTATTGTTCCGTTAAAATCTTGTAAATTGTTAGTGTAAGAGTGCATCAATACTGCAAAATTATATGTGCAGAATGTAAAAGACCCTCATAATTCCATAAAATGTGTTTAAACTCCAACCAAAGGTCAATTTGCTGTATAGACTGTAAAATGCTTGTCGGAGCGGAATACTAACAAATTTTCTTTCGTTTATATCTGAAAAAACGAATAAAGACTGTGTAAAAGGTGTTTAATAGATAGTACGAAAGACATATAAAGGACAAACATGCTGAGAATTAGTCTATGCATCAAAATAAAAGTGAATTTTGTAAAAATATGTAACATTTTGGCATAACGTTCAACTTAACCTAGAAATGTGTAATTAGTGTCAAAAGACGCAGAAAAATACAAGAAATCTGAAAATGGAAAGTTCATGCATCACAAGTCTATTCAAAAGTCAGTATTTGCAGAAATAAAATTCCAAAAATATGATTGTTTTGTTGCTATAGTAATTTTTAATTGTTTTGCACATTCCATAAAACCAATATCCGGGCTCGAGGTAGCCAGTCTTCCATGTTTACCTGTAGCAGCAACATCGTTAGTTTTGCTCCTAGAAAACAAGTGCTATCGGTTATTGTCAACAAAACTGTAAAAATTCAAGTACTCACACAGCCATATTGGTGATTGGATGTCGTGACAAAATTTGACAGTCAAAAATCAGAATGTTACATTAGTGGAAGGGACATTAGCCCGAAAATATATTCAGCAGTTTATTCACAAGCAATTGGTACAACAACAACAAATTGATACGAGGTGAATTTGTATAAATAAGAAAAAAAGTGACAAGTGGAATCTTTAAAAATATAGTGTAGTGTCGTTTCACTTGGAAAAGTTCCTGTGGCAGCACAAAGGATACTACGGTAATTTCCGCAGCGAGACGCCAGTTCAACGAGGGAACGTCGGAGCAGCGCGACTACATGTAGCAGATTTCGCAACACAGCGTAGTTACATGTACATGCTGATGGAAAAATCAGAAAGAAATTTTTCACTGTAAGTGTTGACACGTAGTAAACAAATTTGCAAATTTAATAAACAAAGCGCTACCTATATAAAATTTTACAGTAAAATTTCACTTGAACTACTGACAGTAGAAACACATTTATGCACTGTTATAGTAGAAATTTAAGGAGGGAATTTATTGTTCAATTATTTAGTATAAGCATTACAACAATTATTGTACATTGTGACGAACCCATAACCTGCCAAATATGTTAATATATTGAAGTCTTGTTAATTTAAATATATCTTTTATTTAAGAATTAAGAATATAATTTTAACACATTCAAATTTAAATCAAAACAATGGAACCCACACACTGAGAGAGTCTCATAATCAAATAACAACAACCTACATATAAAAAAAGTCCACCATAACATAATAATATATATTTTTATTTAGAGAAATTGTAGATAATTGGCATGAATGTATTGATTGTTTAAAGTAAAAAACTTGTAAACACACGGCAATATTTTATTAATTAAAAGTTTTTAAACTAGTGGCAGAATTGGGAAAATTTTAAATGAAAACAAGTGCTACCAACAGGGGGGATTAATCAAACAAATATTACCGTATGAAACCTTTTCAAATTTCTTTCTAATATGTATATTTACCAGCTGTGATCTACTTTATTTTATTATAATGTGTTTTTTTCTGTTTTGATGTATAAACACTTTGTGTGATAACATGAAATTATAACAAAAATAAAATCAATACATATGTAAACACATAAATATCCCTGTAAAGGGATACATGTTTTTCTATATATAGCTGTCTTAAATAAATCAAAATACTCGTATCTTTTACACTAGCGTTTATTCTCTCTTGTGGGTTACACAAGAGTTAATACTTAATTCTTATTCATATTAAAATTAATGCTCAAAAAATAGGGTGGATTAATAAGGTACTCGTAGCATAAGTATGATATGTAAAATGGAGAGTAAATATAAAACATCTCGTTTTCAAACACAGTATGAGGTACCAAACCTGTGGAAACCGAACAAAGCAGAAAAAATATTATATTCAAACGTTAATTAGGGCTGCTTAGGGAAGAACAGAATAAAGTACACATTTTTTAAAAATCATCTATAAATTCTTACTATCGATATCGATGCAATTACTTTTTTAAATATTGTTTGTTCTATATATTTTGTAGATAAATCATAGATTAAATTTTTCCTAATTCCAATTTGTAATTGGTGATTATGTGCACAATACATAGCATTAGTAATATTTAAATAGAGCTTAGAAATTTAACAGACATACATAAAATTATTATTGGTGTTGTAATTCTATAATAATTAAATTAGGTAACAAATAATTAGACATCGAGGCATCATAATTTTTCACAAAACAAAAAAAATAGCAGGCTCTCCCTGAATTGAATTTGTGTACTTGACAACGAAAATTTAAAAAGAAATAAACTTCACTTTTCCCCATTATTTCAAATTATTGTAAGCAGATAAGTAAGGTAATATACAATCTGAATTTATAACGTCGTATTATTCAAGAAGAATAAAGGATAGAGTCCATTTTCCCTACTTGTGTGGTGATCGATTGAACTGCACCAAATGGTAGTTATTGTAATAAAATCCTATCCAGCATATAACATAAGATGTACCAAACATATTCACATAAACATCTGAAATCATATTTTTTTTTTTTCACCTTACGCTAAACTGAGTTTTATAACCACCCCCACAGAATAAATGATTAATATTACCAAAAAGAACCTCAGTGGAAAGTTTTATCAAAACGAGGCCTACCTACAACAGAGTAAGCGTCACAATCGAAGACCAATATATTTATTTAAATAGTCCGTCAAAGTCCAATAGAGAGAAGTAGAAACAATTTCGCAAATTACATTTTTAAACGAAATAGATCTCAACCTTCAATACTTGTTAATCAACTTTTAGGTATGTTTGAATTTGAAGTTTGAGTTAAAATGACTTGATAACTTTTCTGTATATAGTTTTAATTTAATAGAGTAAATGTCAGCGCCAGATAAATACGTACTGTAAACTGAAATCTCAGTACCTAACCTAACCTACAAATTTTCTAGTTTAAAATTTATTAATAAGATATTTAGAAAAGTTAAAAGTGTCTATATAAAGCAATATCGAGTTTGACAAATATAGAAGATTGATAAAATTTTACAATATTAAATA